CATATAGTCGTTTGTAATATTTTCTTACAATTTGTTATTGTTGGGTTGTCAGTTGTTACTTCTCTTTCATTTCTGATTTTATTTATTTAGGTGCCCTCTCTTTTTACCTTGATGTATCTGGCTAAAGGTTTGTCAATCTTGTCTATCTTTTCAAAAAACCAGCTCTTGGTTTTATTGATCTTTTGTATTACTTGTACATATACACATTTCATTGATTTCAGAGAGAGAGGAGAAGAGCGAGAGATAGAAACATCAATGATGAGAGAGAGTCATTGATCAGCTGTCTCCTGCTGGGGATCGAACCAGCAATCTGAGCATGTGTCCTGACCAGGATCCATGATCTCCTGGATCCTAGGTAGATGTTCTACCGCTGAGCCATGCCAGCTGAGCTTGTATTGTTTTTAAGACTCTATTTTGTTTATTTCTGCTCTGGTCTTTATTATTTCCTTTCTTCAGCTCACTTAAGGTTTTGTTTGTTTTTCCTTTTCTAGTTCCTTTAATTGTACTGTTAAATTGCTTATTTGAGATTTGACTTGCTTCTTGAGATAGGCCTGTAATGCTATGAATTTCTGCTTAGGATTGCTTACCTTGTGTCCCACAGATATTTGGTTGCTGTGTTCTCATTTTCATTTGGTTCAAGGTATCTTTTAATTTCTTACTTGATCTCACTGTTAACCTATTAATTGTTTAGTAACATGTTACTTAGCTTCCATGTCTTTGTGTGTTTTTTAGAGTTTTTTTGCTTGTGATTAATTTCTAGTTTCATACCATTATGGTCAGGAAAGATGCTTAATATGATTTCAGTCTTCTTAAATTTAGAGATTTTTTGGTCTCCTAACATGTGGTCTATGCTAGAAAATGTTCCACGTGCAATTGTAAAGAATGTATATTCTATTTCTTTGGGGTAAAATGCTCTGAATATATAAATTCAATTAATTTGATTTAGTGTGCCATTTAAGGTCATGGTTTTCTTGTTGATTTTTAGTCTGTAAGAGCTATTCATTAATGTTAGTGGGGTTTAAAATCCCTTATTATAACTATATTATTGTCAATCTCTGTTTCTTTATGTCCATCAAGATATGTTTTATATATTTAGGCGTTCCTATGTAGGGTGTATATATGTTCATAAGGGGTGTATCTTCTTGTTGCATTGCTCCCTTTATCTTTATGTAGTGTCCTTCCTATAGCTTTTGTCTCTTCCTATAACTTTTTTTAAATATCTATTTTGTGTGATATAAGAGTTGCTATACCAGATTTTTATTCATTTCTATCTGCATAAAATATATTTTTCCAACCCTTTAATTTTAGTCTGTGTGTGTCTTTCATTCTGAGGTGGGTCTCTTGCAGATAGCATTATATACGGATCTTGTTTTTCTTATTCACTTAGCTACCCTATGCCTTTGATTGGGACATTTAAACAGTTTACATTTAAAGTGATTGTATTTATTTCTATTTTATTCTTTATAACTATGTTCCTCTATTATTCTTTTTTATTTTTCTCCTTAAAGAAGACATTTAACATTTCTTGTAATATTGGTTTGGTGATAATAAACTCATAGCTTTTTCTTGTTTGGTAAGCTCTTTAATTCTTCTTCCATATTAAATGATAGCCTTGCCGGATAAAATAATCTTGGTTGGTAGGTCCTTGCTTTTCACTTTGAATAGTTCATGCCATTTCTTCTGGCCTGAAATGCCTTTGTTGGGAAATCATCTGGCAGTCTAATGCGAGCTCCCTTGTAGGTAAGTGATTGCCTTTTTCTTGTTACTTTTAAGATTCTCTCTTTGTCTTTAAACTTTAACATTTTAATTACAACATGTTTTGGTGTGTGCCTCTCTGCATCTTGTTTGGGACTCTTTGCACTTCCTGGACATGTGTTTTTGTTTTGTTTAGTTTTGTTTCACCAGGTTAGGGGCATTTTCAGCCATTATTTTTTCAAATAGGTTCTCAGTCACTTGCTGTCTCTCTTCTCCTCCTGTGACCCCTATGATGCAGATGTTGTTGTACTCCATGTTCTCCCAAAGGTCATTTAAACTATCTTCACTTTTAAAATCATTTTTTTTGGCTCTGACTGGGTGTTTTATACTACCTTGTTCGCCAAATCACTGATTTTACCTTCTAATTCATCTGATCTAATGTTTATTCTTTTTATTGTATTGTTCATTCTAGGTAATGTATTCTTCGTTTCTGACTGGTTCTTTTGATGCTTTCTATGTTGTTTTTCACACTGTTAAAGTTCTCGCTAAGTTTCTTGAGCATCTTTATATCCATTTTAAAATTCTATCTGGTAGATTGCTTACCTCCATTTCATTTAGGTCTTTTTCTGTAGATTTCTCTTGTTCTTTCATTTGGTGCATGTTTATTTGTCTCTCCATTTGGCTGCCTCTTCATATTTGTTTCTGTTATTAGGTGGATTTGCTATGTCTCCCAGTATTCTTAGAGTGGACTAATGTAGTAGGTATGTTTTGGGACCCAGAGGTGCAATCCTCTTAATCACCTGAGTGTGGTGCTTCAGGAATGTCCCTTGTGTGGGTTATGTGAGCTCTCCAGTTGTAGCTGAATCTTCATTGCTAATAGCCCATTAATGTGTCAGGTCAACCCTCATGGATGACTGTGAGGATTGACTCTAACCAAAGTGTACAACCTGTTGTGCATGTGCTGATCACATGAATCCGAGTTTACTTCAGCAGGATCTGGTGCCCCCCGAGATATTTCTTTGGTTGCACCTCTTGTGTAGCTTATTGGATCTTGCTGGGATGTTGTCTGAAGCTTGCAACTAGGTTTGTTGTTTCTTGGGGCTCTTGGGAGGGATTCTGGTGCAGGTCAATGTTAGATACTCTTATGACTGTCTCTAGCCTACCTGTTTGAAATTATAAATCGATCCATAGTTTGTGGCTACCTCTGCTGGGCCTGAGTGGGGAGGACCTAGTTGTGCATCAAGGCTAGATTTTTCCAGCATCAGGCCTAGAGCCAGGTCATCCTAAGATCTGTCTCCACTTGCCTCTGCCTGCTGGCTGCCTATTAGGCTCAGTAACTGAGAAAACCTCTGATGGTACTGGAGTTGCAAGAGGTTGATTCTCAGTGAGTCACCAGGTGTTCACCAGATTGATATAGATTCAATCTCAGTGCCAGTGTTGGGTTTGAGACCACTGAGTAAAATTCCAAGGATACACCGAGGCTAGCTGTCTCCCATAAGGTAACTAAAGGACTTTGTGGTGTGTCAAGGTCTCAGGGAGTTAGCAAGGTGAGACCAGTAATGTTTATCAGGCCCAAAGAGACCAAGATTTGGCCATGTGAAGTAAGGACTCTGCACCAATTTTGTGTGCGAAGGAAATATAGCCCCCATCCTAGAGCCACACAAAGCAATCACTGACACTTTCTGAGTCCTACCAGCCTTCTATACCCAGGGTCCAGACAGCTGACTCCTCAGCAGGGTGTGAGCTCCATAGGCTGGAGTGATAGGTAATCTAGAGGGTGAGGCTATCACCTTCCCGCAGGCTGATGTCATATGCAGTGGAGTGCTTCATTCAAGAACGATGGGATCTGTGGTTTGGGCAAGGGGCTCAGCACAGGACCCTGGCAGCTATCCCTTCAGCTCTCTCCCTGGAGCCACAAACCCCAGTCTTTCTTCACACAACTTTAGTCTGCTCTGCCTCCCTTCTTCCAGAGTCTGGGTGAGTGGCTGCAAATGAGGTTTTCTGTGCTGTCCCTTAAAGAGGGCGCCTGGGTCTCTATCTGTCTCTCCCTGGCAGACAGAAACCCTGCTTCTTTTCACAACCAGATGTTATGTGGCTGCCTCTTCCTGGCTCTGATTCTCTGGGCTGGGAAGCCTGGTGTGGGGTTGAGACCCTAAGTTCCTTAGGGGAACCTTTGCAGCTGAGATATCCCTCCAGATTCAGCTGCCTCCTGTGGGAGTAGGGTCAGCCCTTTTCATGTCCCTTCCCTTCCTATCAGTCTTGACATGGCTTCTTCTGTAAATCCTTGGTTTTAGACTTCTGTTCAACTAGTCTTAAGTTGGTTATTCAGGTTGATTGTTCTATAATTTAGTTGTAATTCCAGTTTGGTCCTGGGAGTAGGTGAGTGTAGCTTCCACCTAGTCCACCGCCACCTTGGGTCTCTCTAAATGTTGCTCTTTAAATATTTTGTTTATTTACTTAAAAAACATCTTATCAATAAAATAAACTTAAGCATTCTGCAAAGACAGAGAGTAGACCAAATCTTTCATCATTCTATTTAAAAATACTGTTTACAATGAAAAATGAGATTTTACATTTTGTAGAGTTACCTTGAATTCATCTAGGTAATTTACATCATGACTGTCATTCTTTGTCTAAGGTGCACATCCATCATGGTTAGCTTTTGTCAATGCAGTTAATTAATAAGATTTGAGGGGATGTAGAAAGGCAGCAGGGACAGAATTTTGACTCTTCTGTTTTATTTTCAGCCCCCTGATGAACTAAATGTAAGTGTCTGGGGAGGACTTTTAAAGCCTCAAACCACAATTATGTCATCTGTAGAATAGGGAGATTTTACTAAAGGCATGATACTGCTTTTACTGGCTTACCTCCACTATCCCTATTGTAAAAATGATTTAATTGCTTAAGGGTATCTAAGGTTCCTCCAAGCTAGAGTCTATGATACTTTGATTACATTTATGGACTGAGGAATCAGAACTGGAAAGGTCAGTGCACCCTTCATGATCCAGGTGGCCCAATGTAAGTGAGAGTCCACCTTTCCCAGTGCTAAATTGACCCTTGGCCATGGAGAGCCTGTTGCTCTCTTACTGTCCATTTAGTACAATTTTGCTGCCAGTGTCCACATATAGTGATAATGACTATATGCAATTATGTTGAGGAGATATGCAGAGTCTCTTAACACAGATAAACTGAGGAAGACTAAATGATAATTTGAGGACTCTCTAAGGTGACAGAATAATATGACTGGGTCATGGGATGTAGGTACCACAACACAGCAAATGGGAAAACAAAAATGCCTATTGTACCTTTTTTGCAAAAGGGTCCTTCATATGGTGAATTGGTGCAGTCGCAGAAGTACCCACTGCGCTTCTCCACACACTTGCCCCCATTGTGGCAGATGCTGCCGTAACTGCTGCAATGTCCAGGGCATCCTGGCCGGACTCCAGATGTGACCTTGGCCCTCTCCTCCAGGTCCAGTTTCTGCCCATTCAAGTGTAAGGAGCGTATGCATCCTAGAAAGCCTTTCTGTTTTGATGATGTTCCTCCTAAGTGGTGAAAAACAAAAGGAAAAAATAAATAATGTATCATAGGGTTTGTATTGGTATTTCCAACAGTTAACTCTTGTTCTGCTGTGATGCTGTGGTGGGTTTTTACATTAAAGTTTCCATGGAGAATTAGAAATTTAAAGGGTCTATGAAAAATGCATTCCTTTTCAAACTGGGACAAATGCCACCTTCCCCCCCCCCCCATACAGATCCACTCAAAAAAATTTTTTAAAGATTGTAATTCATGTGGAATCTTGTATTTTACATACTTAAGGTAAAACATTAAGATAAGAACTTGTCATGCTCCTTGCAGATGAAATAAAGTGTGTTTTTGGTCCACAGCAGACATTTCTGTGAAGTGGAGTACAGAGAGGGAAATTGTGCCTCTGGCAAAGTTAGAAGTAGCTGTTAGGCTCAGGGAGTGAGAAACTGCAAGGAGTATTGCAATGCTTATCCGGGGCAGTGCAGTGGACTAGAAAGAGGCTAGACTTTAGACAGTACAGACATGGAGTCAAGATCCATGCTACTAGATGATTAGCCATAACGACCACTGACTCACCTGAGCACCAGTTACTTGATCTGTCAAATAAGAATAAGTTTATTTCATGTGTTTACAGTAAAGCTTAGTTCAGAAGTAAAACACCCTTAATCACTTTTCTTGCTATCCCTTCTCTTGAACCCTCACATGATATGTACGTATGTATGTGTGTATATGTGTGTGTGTGTGTGTGTGTGTGTGTGTGTGTGTGTATATACCAGAGATTACCCTCAAATTATTATTTGGAAGACAAATTTCTTCTTCTGAAATACAGAAAAAAGATTGCAACGAACTTTCTGAGGAGGCTATATCTTGAAGGTTTCAGAGACATCTGCAACAGATGAGACTCAAAGATAAGAATGTTTTGTTACTTTTGGAAATCCAGGACTCTACTGGCCTAAACCTCTAATATCAGAAAAGTGTGTATTAAGTGACAGCATGCCAAGAAATTAGCTAAATCCTATCATCTAGATGGTCTCAGAGAAGACACATGTCCAGCATGAAAGAACTTAAGTTCTATTCTAAACTCAATGCTTTGGGCTCAAATCCATGCACAGGGCATGGAGGACACTCAGGTCCTCCAGGTCTACCTGGAGTACTAATGGAGGGGAGAAGTGTGTTGGAAAAGAACAAGGACTGGCTGCCACTGATTTGCTGTGTAAGTCATCTCTGCTTTGTGTGCCTCATTATTTATAGTTCTTCCTATTGTAACTTTATTAAATCTTGGTCTGGCAGATAACTGGATAAAAATACATTTCCACTAGGATGGATACAGAGATGAATTCCAAACATGCTGTCTCAGACTAGGAATATAGGTGTTCAACAAAAAACAGAGCTGAAAGTTAAAGAAATGAATATGTAACGTAAAAATTTTCTGGCATCTGTTAGTCTGGCAGGGTGGACAAACAAATATTGGAAATGGGGATGGTGGCAATATAGGGTGGGAGTAGAGACAATCCTGCCTTCCCTGCATCAGTCCAGGTCATGAGACCTGTAAATATATGTATGACAGTCACTAACGGCATCTAAAGACAGAATGTTCCCGAAGGATTAACCCAGTCTCTTGTCTTGAAGTAATGATAAAACTCCATTGTATTTTCAGTTCTGGTAAGTGATACCCAAGCTGGCCAGGAGGTCAAACCCAAATTGCATTCTCCTGTCTGTCTCAATTTTAGTGAGTGAGCGTCCTTTAACCACAAGATAAATCGATTGTAAATAAAGCAGATCATAGAGGAAGGTTCGTAATTTCTTCCCAGGAGATTGTGTAGAACAGAGAGGACAGGACTTATGTAGTCAAATGTTTGGCTTATTTTTCCTCATTTTGTAGTCACTCCCTGTGGTAGATTTAAATAACTCTTCGTGTGTCTCGTTAGTGGCACTTTTCTTCTGGCCAAGGTGGATAACGCAGCATCTAGGGCACATGTTTTTGCACATGGTTCAGTCGACAAGTTTATAAATGGAAAGCTGGCTGGGGGGTTCCTCTGACAGACACATGCCTCGACGTCTGAGACACAGAGAACATGATGAGAATGACCCAGAACAAGGGGATCAGCCCAACCCAGATGCTGACAAAACACAATGACACAAGGGACTCTGAACTAAATGGCAAATAAATTAAATTTCGGTTTTTACCTGACTGCTTTTTTATTCTTTGCAAGGGATTAAAACACTAGAGGTCAGACTCCTTTATTTGTTATGGAGAAGTAATACAGAGGTTGGAAAAGTAGGTTTACCGTTGTTTGTATGGAAAATAATACAATAAATTAATAATAATATAAGAATAAACTCTGTTTAGTGTCTTCACAATTGCAAAAATAATTTTACCCACCCCTGTATATAGACCCAGTATAAAATAATTCTAAAAATATGTCCCCTGCCCACACGCTCACACCCTGTCAGGCTGTCAGCGCCTCCATTTCTGACATCACCTACTGTGTACAGTAGTGTTGGCGCTGTGACTCCCTGTGCAACTTGAGTACTGTGCAAAATGCAGCCACAGTCTTCCCCCTCCTCCTCTCTCACAGCCCTCTCCCCGCCCAGCCCTGTGTACCAGCTTTCCCAGATACCTATGCACACACCTGCTTCCATCCACACCCAGAGCACACCCTGCTTGAATCCCAGCAACTGGTCTCCCAACTCTCAGCCCTGACTCTTTTGATCCACTCACCACTTTGCAATCGGAGAGGTCAACCACATGTGAAAATTTCATTCTGCCACCCCTATTTTATACCCTTCAGAGAGCAATTATTGCAGAAAATCAAACTTGTATCTTTAGCACAGCTGATCTACCATGAAAGATCTCATCTCCACTTATTTCTCCATCTTCCTGCTGGGACTTCAGGGCACCATGCATCTGAGTTGCTAATGGTTCCCCAATGTTTTGTCTTGACTTTGGACTTCCTCATATACCTTGAATTTATGTCGTCTGGCATCTTCCCCCATACCCTCCATGGTTCCCCTTCTTCATCCATAGCATCACAAAAACACACACCTACACTCCTATATATTCCTTAGTTCAAATATGTCTTGTCCACCCAGTATTTATTTTAACTTTTTCTAAATTTTTTTGAAACAAAAAATATTTTAAAAATCCTAGTATGTCTTCCACTGAAGAATCAGGAGGTCTGTTGACAATGAATTTGCTTTCCTGTAGGACAAGCCTCAGCTGCACTAAGAGAGGACATGGGTGCACTTGCCACTTGGCCACATTCCCCACCAGGATCCTTTCATTCATTCCCATGGTCTTCCTGGTCCTTACCCGGATTTGATCTTTCACTTGCTCTTACATACTTTTATTTGCTTGTCTACATCTTGTCTAGAGACGGTTGAAAGAACATCAAAAAAATGCAGTGTTATCACTAAAGCTGCTGAAAGTCATTTAATTGAGGCTCATACTTAATCTATAAGATGTTTGAGAATCAGAACAATGCCTCTAATTATAAAAAAAAAATCAAACATATTTGCTATATGCTAAAATCTTTATAATGAGCTCATTGAATACTCAATGGGGGAAAGGTATTGTCCATATTATTTATGTTACATAGTTGAGAAAACTTAGTGTCACAGACATTGCTTTGGCCAGAGTCAAGAATCAAATGTTTTTTATGTAGCAGAGCCAAGAGTTAAACTAAGATCCCTTAACCTTCAAAGCCTATATACTTTCACCCCCTTGAAATCCTAAAATGAACTATTTAATTAGACAGCTTGGGTCAGTACTGCAACTAAGTGATTTTCACCACCTTCCAATGGTGTCTTACATAGTTTCTCCTATCAAGTAACATACACATGTGTATTTAGCCTCTTGACTTTCATATCACTCTTCCTGACAACTTACACCATTAGTTAGCTGGCCTTCCCAGAAGTACTTTTGAATGAACACCCTTGGTATCAAGTGTGTCCATTGTGATGTTGCTTCCTTGGACTAAGTATGAATCAACTCTTAAAATCATGACTATCATCATTTTCAGCCTGTCTTAAGAAACCTCCATGTGTCATTTGGACAAGTGCTCATGCCTCCAGGGAAGCAGCTCAGTTCCTCTTGCCTTCCTTGAGTGTGAGTACAGGACCCTCTACTTCTCCTGTGTGTGCCCTCGTCACCTTTAACATGAAGCACCTGAACATGGGAATGTTAATTCCCATCCAGTGGGGATGAAGAGTCATGTATTGGGATCTCTGAAGCTTTATAATTTATCAAGTCACTGTAGTCACTGTAGTATTTTCCCCAAGGAGTTATAAGTTGAGAGTAACTTTGGTGTATTTTGACACAAAAAAGAAAAAAAAAATTCCATGAAAGACCAAAAAGCAAGAAGAAAGCAAAGCCACAAACAAGTGAGACTCACAGGCCAACACCTTTACTAAATGCCCACTCTATAATTTCAATACACCTGGAAAATGTGGCATTGGATTTAGAGAGAGGGAGACTTTTCTTGCAGCTACATACCCATGGGCATGAGGATAAAGCCACCATTCCCAGTATGTACATGGAGATAGCCGACCCTCAAGGAGTGAAAAACTAGTCCCCAGGCTCTTCATTTTCACTCTGCAGGTAAGGGTGATGAGTACACTTGGGCTAGTTGTTTTCCTACCAAGGCCCATGGCTATGGCAGGTCACCTGGAATCCATACCCAAGTATCCTCGTTTCACAGTGCCTGGGGTGCCAGCTCTTGGACTCCTCTTGCCCCATCCTCATAAGGACTGGACATTAGTAGCAACAGCAAAGCAGATGGATGAGGCCTCCAGTGTATCAAAGACGGGAAGTCCATGCATGCAGCAGGCACTTCAGAAGCCACATGCTATAAAGTTCCTCCTACTCTGTTAAAGACACGTGGCCACTAAACAGCATGGTTGGAAATGTAACTGTCATGGGGATAAAAGCCTATAACTTAAAATATTATTTCTGGCAATCCTGAACGTATTGACTACTGTGTCAGCACTCAACTTGTCACATTCCCATAGTAGGGACAGTGCTAAGAAGTGCATCTTATTTTATAAAATTCAGCCCATTTCTGTGCTCAGGAAGTATTCACGAGCACAGCACACCACCAGGGGTTACAGTGCTGAATGATGCTCTGTTTTGATTTTGCTCTTTTTTTTTTAAATCACTAAATTATAAAAATAGAAACACTCAACTTCAGCATTTTCAGCCTCCTGATATTTCTAAATGGACATATCACTGAACACTAAACAACAAAATTCAAACCAACAAACTAAAATGACCCCCAACAGCATTTTTCTTCTTCAAGTACATTAGGACAAATTCAATAAACCTGAGTAACAGCTGAGCTGGAATTTATTGGAGAGAAACACAGAAGCAAGCACTCTCACCACAGCTGACCTTGGCTCTACCTTGAGCAAGATACCTCCTCCAGACCCATCCACTCACTCACGACTCACTGTCTTTGCGATCAATCTAGTTGGAACGTCTGGAGGAAAAACCTGCCATGAAGCACAGCTGCCCCTTTTCCCTGTTGACTAGCAGAAAGTTATCACATATTCAGAACATATGATAATTTCATAGCACCATGAAATTTGCATGAGAGCATCAAAAATTATTCCATCTTTATATACACATTCTAGCCTGAAAGATTCATAAATACTGCCTGAAGATAAATTAAACTTTGGCATGAATATAATTTATGAAAATTGCAAACTACTTGAATTGATTTCACACCAAAAACACATTAAATCTTGATGACTAACAAACTTCTTCAGAGCAATAAAATGTGATGTTTAAATAGAATTAAAACAGCCATATAAATTTTAAAAATAGTTTAATAGTAAATTATATCATTTAAGTAGGTTATTGACTAAGTAAATGCCTTATAACCATAACAATTTCAATCACTTATATCTTAGCTTCTGCCAGATATGAAAAACATGGCAGGTGAAGAAAGAATGGTTCCTGTTGAGAAAAGAAAATATTACATATTCTGGTATTTTTCTTTTAGTTCCTGTGCTTTTAGTGACTACTTTCCTCAGAGTTAAAAATTTTACAAACCCAAATTTAAAGGAAGCAAGAAAAACACCCATTGATTGCTGATGGTGTTTTGTTACCAACAGGAAGGCGCCGTAGAGTTGGATAAACAAGAAGAGTGGAATAAAACTAAATCTGGGAGACTGGCCACATTTGGAACCTATTTACATTATGGCTCTAAGCATCTGAACTTCAAGTTTTATAGAAGAGCAGCTTCTGGTCTTGATAACATTACCGTATCTCTAACATTTATGGCTCTATTTGTACTTTAAAGCTTTACGTGCCCTGCTCAACATTTTTATAAAAAGTCCTTTCTAAATTATGGCTATTAGACTGACCTCTTCTACCTGGACTAATGTAGCTAAACTTTCTCACTCCCTCTCTCTCTCTGCCTCTCTCTCTGTCTCTGTCTCTGTCTCTCCCTCTCTCTCTCTCTCCCTCTCTCTCACACACATACACACACACACATGACTGTGCACTGAGAGTAGTGTCATTGCACAGCTCGTCTATCCAGCTGACTTGTTTTCTGTGCTCAGTAACTGTGAAATGAATGAATGTATGACTCAGTGAATGATGCCTGAGCCTTTCCAGCTCTCATGAGCACCTCTGGCAGCAAGTTCAGATGAACGACTTGTCTTAACCCTGGTTCTGAGACTCAAAGAGGGAATGAGCAGAGGAGAGTCATTTGCTTGGGGGTCAGGACTGCTTTTCTGTGCAAGAGTAAGACGGCCACCCAAGGGATGGGATTTCAGGGAGTATCAAAGAAGCTCCTAGTTTAAACCTCCATCATATTACTGATGACTGAAATCTGCAGCATATTTTATTACACTGTTATTGATAATTCTTAGGAGTTAGGTATCCGCCAAAAGGGGGGAGTGTGGCCCACTGACTTGGAGCCAGCATCACTAAGGTGTAAATAGCTGATCTATTCTTTTTCTAAGGGTATAATATGATTATAAGGATGAAAAATAATAGGGGCCCCGGGATATCTGAATGAAGGTCATACCTACAAGGAGAAAAGATACAAAAAGAGCCTGAGATCACCTCAAAATTTGCTGTGAGGCGTCATGTTCTCTTATTGCTGTGGCTAATGGAGCAAGAAAGACTTTGAATAATAAAATTTACCATTGTAAATGTTTTAGGACACATTTGAATCATTTCTCAGTCTAAAGTAAAAGCAGTTTTTCTTGACCTGGTCTAAAGTAAAAGCAGTTTTTCTTGACCTGGTCTAAAGTAAAAGCGATTTTTCTTGACCTGGTCACAGAGTGGGTTTGTAGGATTTTCAGCGCAAGGATGCCTTAAAACGTCCCCTACCTACAAACAGCTGGCTGTTGAGCTGTAGTCGGAAATGTCCCTCCTCTGAAGTCTCCATGCTTGTCCTTGGGAGGCTGTCCACCTGAAGCGAGGTCACCTTGAGGTTCCTCTCTGCCCGAACATAATGCCATTGGTTGTCGTTCAGAGGAGAAGGAGACTGGACTACGAGCTCTACGGGGCCGCTCCCAACATCAATGGCAAAAGTGATCTCAGAAGGAGCTGAAACCGAGAAGGGAACAGGTAGGAGGTGAAAGGAGCTGTCAGTGCGTTGAGGGCAGAGTGTACCGTGAATGAAGGGAACAAACAATCCTCAGTAGCCAGGTAAAGACTTCGGGTGAATGCCCTTCAGGATTAAAATTACCACTAACAGTTATATCTATCAAACACCAAGCCTCCAGCTCTTATTTGGCCAGTCCATCCTGGCTGTGAGAATTCAGGTAATAGCACAGGGACCTGGGGCAGCGATGTTAATCTGATAAACATGCATTTGTGCCCAGGTTCTGGGTTTTCTGAGTTTATCTGGCTCCTACTGTGTTCTCCTGGACATCCATAGATTCTGGGTTAACTAGGCAGTTCCACTCCTGTGAGGAGAAGACCCACCACCTGGACTATATAGTGCTTTTCTCCACGTTATTTTATTAATACATGTGATATAAGTGTTCACACTTTTACTAGGATAAAAAAAAAAAAAAAGGCTCGGAAAGTTGAAGTGTCTTGTCCAAGGAAATACAGTTGCCAGTGGTGGTTCCTGGTTTTCACAAGCCCCCTCCCCACCCTGGGCTCCTTCCTGACTCTGCCCTTCTATACCAGCCTGCATGTCATTCAAGCCAGGGGGCCAGTCAGGGGTAAAGTCCCTATAACAGGGTGAAGATGGTGGTGGTGGTGGCCGCAGCAGTGGTGGTGATAGAGAGACAGAGGGGTAGCCACAGCACAGTGGTACCGTGAGCTCTGCCAGGCCCTGTACTTAGCACTGACCATAGATTATATAATTATAATCCTCAAAACAGCCCTATGAGAAATGCATTACTTTTATTTCCTTTTTATGAGTAAAAAAAAAATCAAAGTTCTTAGACGTGTGAATAATTTTTTCAGAGTTTTTCAAATAGCAAGTAGAATCTGACTCTAAAAGTAGACTTGTTCACCCATTTTTTCTCAGTTGTGTATATGCTATTGTATTTTCTATTACTATATAAAAATGTTTTAAATCTGAAGGAAGTGGAGAGGTAAATGATACACTGGGGTGGAGGAGAAGACAATCCCTTCAGTGGCTGGAACCTTCACTCATCAGACCCTCCCTTCCTTCTGAGCACCTCAAGATGGCCCCTGTCCTTTACCCTAAGACAGAACCTGGGGATTTATTTGACAAAATCATCCACTGCAAGATCTGAATCACCAAAGGTCAACCCCAGCCTCCACCACTCCCTCCTCAGCTTTAAACCCTAGCAGAAGGCCAGTCCTGGTATGAGAAGCCCCAATCTGCAGGAATTTATGTAACTAGGAAATGTGAGCCCTGACCTGGAGGAAAGCAATAAGGTGGAGGCTTTAAAAGTAAAATTTGAGAGGTTGAATTCTAGAGCCACCCAGGCCTAAAGCCAGTTTTCTGCCTTGTTCCAGTTCAGTTTTTTTATTTGTAAATAGGAATAAAAATAGCACCTAATTGTCAGGTTGTTTATCAATTAATCCTCATGAAATTAACATTTTCATCAAATGTAAGACCAGTTGCATTTAAAACATTTTTATACAACCCAAAAGTCAAAATACGGTACCAGAAAGTACAAATTGGACATTGCAAAGTAATTAACACTAAATCATCACTCATTACCCTTCCATGATAAGCCGTGACATTAGCTGCTGCTGGAATGAATCAAATGGCCTTGGGGCTTAATTTTTATTAAATTTAGTTGCGGTTATTATATTCGTATTATGAAATTGTTGGCACTCAACTCCACGTTTCAGTTCCAGGCCGTTAGGTACCAGGGACCTTATTTCACACTAAAGCCAGGAGTTTCCTCCCAGTGACAGTCTCAATTGTTGGAGTAAAAGGAGGTCAACGCTTCCACTTAAAGAATCCCTTCCCTCCTGTGAATCGTGTGCATTTGCAGAATGAGCACTGGGCTGCGGGCAGATCTGCAGAAGTGCTCAGATGCTGCTTCTGTCTCCTCCTGACAGGGCTGTGTGCTCTTTTTTTTTTTTAATTTATTTTTATTGTTGAAAGAATTACAGATGTCCTGTTTTATTCCCCATTGGCCCCTTCTACCTGGCTCGCCCACCCCCCACCTCAGGCCTTCACCACACTATTGTGCTCTTTTGCTAGAGCTCTTAGGTTCCAAGTTTCTGTGGGTTAGACATTACTTTTGCTTTCAAGGGACTATGATGAGGTCACATTATTGTAATATGGTCAATTGTCTCAGTCAAACTATAGAAAACATCCATTTAGACACAGATAAACGAGACTCCTAATGACAAACATGAGTCTCCATGGTTATGGGTATAACAAAGGCAGGACAGTGCGAACAGCCCACCTGTGCAGGAGGAATTAGGGGGTCCCCTGAGTGTAGCAAGTCGGAAAACTAGCGCACACAGCTGAAAGCAGATGTTTCACGATTGCCATGTGCCAGTGATTCGAAGCATCAGTGATAAAACAGTCCTCCAACAAAAAAAGAATGTTTTTGGTCTAAGTCCTAACCAATGCTAATATTAGTTTTAATTTTTAATAATGTAAGTCTCAAAGAGCACTTATTATTACTTACCATTTAGAAAATGTTATATTCAAGAGGGAAATTAATGCAGAGAACTGCAGATCTACTACTGGCTCCTGAACACAGCAGATTCAAATACACAGGGCAGGCAAAAGGAGGTTTACAGCTGTCAGTTGACAAATAATACGATGATTAATAAATAATAATAATACAGGAACTGTTTCCCGTGCTCACAACTGTAAACCTACTTTTGCCTCACCCTGTATGTATTTATTTTTAAGAGTAAGACCTCAAGTTCTGATTTTTCACTTTTGTTATCACTGAGATATTACTGCTGAATTCACACCTGTTGAAACACATGTATGGTACCATCGAGGTGGGGATACAAACTGCACACAGAGAGCTCAAGCGGTTTCAAATCCTCAGAAACTCTTAGATCTTTGCCAAATAGAACAGCGATATATGATGAACTTTCTGGTAAAAACATTTTCGTGGATTATTTTTTATTGCAGAGATATTTGAAAGATGTTAGATTTGATTCTGAAAAATTTACATATAAAGTATTGCAATTTTTTTGAATTTATTATAGAATGGAATTTTTATGAATCTGTACCAAACTTATCCCTATGTTTAAAACATTTCTTTAAATTTATACTTCTATTGCTCAATATGAAAAAAAAAAAAATATCCTTTGATAAATATGAGAGAAGTTAGGTGGGCAAATGTGATTATGGTCTTTTAAACAAGGACGTGCAGAGAAAATCAATTTTGATGAAGTCATTCATAAATTTGTAGAAGTTTAAGGAACAGAAATGTTAATGTTATTATTGTTAATAGAAAAACCAATATGTAAGGACTTTTCCCTTTTTATATAACATGTAATTAGGAGATAGGGTGTTAAAAATGATCCAGCCTGCCGTCCAATGCACTAAATACACCCGAGTTCATGGGAAGAGGGAGAGAAACAGTGGGAACTCTTGTTGGGTGGTGACACACTCCTAATGGGGTGACATAAGTGAGGAAATTACTTTCAGAGCAAAAATATAACAAAAAAGTGGGCCCCAATAAGAAAAGGATGCATGAAAATAACACATTAGCTTTCCATGGAAATGCAATGAACACATCTGCGGTATGGTTGCTTAAAGCCATAGGTAAGAAATACCCATGGATCAGACCAAGAGCACTGCCATCGGTCTCCACCGGAATTTGGGAAATGCATTACTTTGGTGAGAGAATGACTGATTAAATACTGACAGGTAACAATAATGCAAAAAGCATTAGAAAGAACTAGAAATTGCCATTGCTGATTTTACGGATGGCCAGCGAGATTAGTTTTGTGGTACAAACAGGCACTTGGTGGCAAAGATAAGGCTGAAGCCGCTTCTGTTGACCAACTACAAGAGTCATTCATCAACGAGGAACTTACAGCTTATTTCAAGTCGGATGAAGTCCGTAATGCCAAGGTTTTCTAGGAAAACTCCAGAGAGAGCCGTGGTTTTAAAAAAGAAGGAAATATCAGCGCTGAACTCCGCGTGGAAGGTAGGGAAGTGGAGGTAGGAGGCTTCTGTGTAAAAGGAGACGGCGTTCCAGAAGTGTCCTGCGAAGAAGAGGCCCCTTGAGCATGGTGGGCCGCGGCCCGTAAGGCTCGCGGCAGGGAAGTGCAGGGACGGGGTGAGGGGACAGGACACCCGGGCCCACGCGGGGCAGAAAGAGCCCCTTCCTTAGTACTCACGGTCGCCGTAGCAGCGCAAGGGCCCAATTCTCCAAGCAGCTTCTGAGTTCGACCTGTTGGTATCTGTGATAACTATCTGAGTGACAGGCAAGTGGTCTTTGAAGGAAAGAAAGCCGGTATCATTTGTCCTGCAAGACATAAATTTAAGAAAAGAGAGGAGAAAATGTGGATAATCTAGGGACTCTCTACCCGGACTCCTCTTTTTCACAGCTGGTTGGGCAGTCGCAGCAGGGTGGTGCCGGGAGGAGGGCACCGAGGGCCTTTCATCTCCTAAATGCGTGTGAGTCTAGCACGCCCACTGCAAAACCCTCGGCCAGCTTCCAAACCAAGCGGATCGCACATCACCCCTCGGTCCCTCCAGAAACACAGAGTTTGCAGGTGGCTTCCGCCTGCTGTAGCTGAGCTGCCCGCCCAGCCAGGGCTGGTAACCCCCAGCAGGGCCTCTCCATAAGGAGGCGGCTGTCTCAGGAGCTACTGGAAACGGGCATCACGAATCCTGCGCCAGTCACTCCAAGGAGCTGTGTTAGCCACCTGCCAACAGTGCCCAGTCAGCCCAAGATGCTTCTCGTCACCTTTCACTCTAGGGACGAGCCAGTCGTTACAGCTCCCGGTTTGTTGCTTTTCAGTTTGTTCTGTGTTTCAAGGATCTTGGTAGTTAAGGACTTGGCTTTGTCTTCATTAATTATGCAAGTAGGAAACTGACTCGTCAGCTTGTGAAAAAAATTTTTTTTAAATAATACAGTTAAACTATTGATTTTTTTTCTCTTTGTAAGTTGTGTTTTTGGACTACAGATAAGAGCATACCATTAACTGAAACAAAACAAAAATTCAGGTAAGAAACTGATATTGAATTAATAGATATTTTGAAGACAGAACAATATTCAGGACAAAGTTTGTGATGCAGCAACTTGATAACAAGAGCATGAAGGAGCAGATTCATATTGGTTTTCTCTCTGTAGTCATAAGGAAGTAAACAAAACAGTAAGAAACAACCTATTTCATTATCACTTATAGCTCTGAGTTTAGAGACAATAAAAATAATAATCCAGATTATTAATCGGGGAAACATGGCAAGGACCCAGTAGTGTGACAAAGTGCTTTGAGGATGTAGCTTTAGAAACAGGTAGATTTGTCCTGGAATCTCAGTCCCCTGCTCCCAGCTGTGCTAGCTTGGGCAGACCACTCCATTTCTGCGTCTCCCCAGTGTCCTCAGCTTTAAAATGGACGTATACTCTGTACCACAGAGTTATAGAGAGGGTTAAACGAGACTACATAGCCACTTAGCATGGTGTCCAACCTATGGGGAATGCTGAAAATGGGCGTAGGGACACTCCTTTAATTCTCATATGAACTAAGGCTTTGTTTCTATTTGAAAGTACATCTCTGAATGTTCCTTGGACATAGAACAAATTTTGTGTCTTCACATTTGGATATTTTCTCAGGAAGAGATTTCAAATTAGAGTGCAAGCAGTCTGAGTAGAACAGACAAAATCCCCATCCTCTCTCAAAGCAGTGTTTCTCTAGGAATCGTTTCTCTCCATTTTAGTTCCTAGGTGAAATGGTCAGTTCTGAAGTTTGCCCATCAAAAGTAACCACTGCCTCCCTTACACACTGTCCTCTTGTCTACGTCTCTTTGATGCCTGTATGTCAAAGTGTTGGGATATCCAAAAAGCACTCTAAGAATAGAAATGTTTTCCAAATAAAAGAGAAGAAAACATTCATATTAAGTTTGATGATGCAATCCCATTACCAAAAATATTTTTTATCTGAAAACTAAAACAAATATCTAAAGAAATGAAACTGCTCTCCAAAGTTGTTTAATGAGATAGAAACAGATACAAAGTCAAATGTCTACAGGGACCAGAAAGGGAATAAAAATGCATGAAGTTGGCTGTGTGTTAGATGCTAAATGGAACCTGACACACAGCTTCACTGTCAGGGGAAGAAGAGAGAGGGAGAGAGGCAGGAAGACTGGTGGGGAGTAGGTGTCCTGTCCAAAGGAGGCAGTGACAGCCATTAGTAAAGCGGTAATTATGCTACTCATGAACATAAGGCCAGTGGGCTAGCCTGGAATATTAATGCAAAAATTCTCAATTTTTAAACCTTGACAATGAATTTAAAATTTAAAAAAAAAAAAAAAGTGTGGTGAGACCCAACACTGCACTGGCCAATATAATGCCTGTGAGAAATATGTTCAGCTGACGGGCAACCAAGGCAGCAGGGAGACTTTGAATATTTATTCCTGCTCTTAGAGTCACAGTGAAGATAAGATCGGATTTAATTCAATTTGTGAGTGGCACATACAATTCAAACCTTTGAAAGCATTAATGGGCAGAATATCTGGAGGGTGGGTGGTGTTGGTGGATTTTACTGTAAGAAAATGAGACAAATTTTGATGGTATCTATTGCTAGAAAGGGGATCTACAGCTGAAGGGTTGACTTTCTACCAGTTAACTTGTGTTTTTCTTTCTCTTTTGTTTGAACACTTTACAGACTTTGTCTTTGTTTGGAATACAGGAGGCTCTCCCTAAGTGGACAGGGCACTTACTTACACACTTTATAAGTACGGAGTGGTTGTGTCATAGTGGAAAATCATTGCCTTTTGAATTAGACTGGCATGGGCGGAATCAGTGGACCAAGGAATGTGGATCTCAAGAAACACACATGACCTAATAAAAACCTATACATTAAGAAAAAGAATTGAAAACACATTCTCGGGAGCAAACGTATGGCACGGAATTAGTCAGTGTGTTCTCAGTTTAGTATCTGCATCTTGAGATTTTACAAATTCACGACTGTGGAGCACAAGGGCCTCTGATGTCCTTAGTGTATGGTTAATGGTGGTGAAACGTCACATGTTCTTGTTTGCTTTTTTTACCGAACAGTGTTAGTGACCTGCTGCTCTGTAAGCTTCTTTCAGGAGAGTCATTTGGGTGACTGAGTCTATAAAGAGTTTTGTTGTGTTTTGGTTTGGTTTTTCCTTTTTATACCTTCTCTCAGTCACTCCAAAGTAACAAATAAAACATTATGCATAGGATAGAGAAACATAGAAATTTATGCAAAGGACCTCAGACTTCAACTCCCTTTGAAGCCCCTGTGTGAATCTGAGTAGATTAGTCTCAAGACAGTTTGCACCTCTCTCTCTCTCTCTCTTTTTTTTTTTTTAAATATACCTTTATTGATTTCAGAGAGAGTAGAGAGGGAGAGAGAGAGAGAGAAACATCAATGATGAGAGAGTCATTGATGGGTTGCCTCCTGCATGCCCCCAACTGGGGATCAAGCCCACACACCGGGCATGTGCCATGACCAATAATCGAACCCCACTCGCCTGGATCCTAAGTCGGTGCTCAACCACTGAGCCTCGACCGGCCAGGGACACACTTCTCTTGAGTGGGTAACACAAAGCCCCCACTGCCTGTGGCTTCAAAGGCAGAACAGGCAGTAAGATGCCCATAAGCAACTCTGCGAGTCTGAAGGACCGGGTTGATGCCTGCCAATAATTCTATCTTAACTTTAGTTAAGGCAGTTATTTCCCTTTGTCTTCCTTCTAGGGATTTCCAGATAAAAGAGCACTAGGGGATTAAATGACATGAAGCTCAAATGAGTTACAGGGCCACTCGGCTGTCCAAAAACACAAGGAAAGCATTTACTGTGGTCCCATATAAAGTCCACACCTGAAGGTGATATCTGTTCCCCGTGCCCCACACTGGCCACACCAGAGATAGAGTCTTGTTTCCAGTTCCTAGCAAAACAAGGAGGTTGTGGCAGAAATTGAAAATTTTCAGAAACTATATTTCTTGTATAAATACTCTAGAAACTTGAAACTGAAGGGCTCATCTAAGTAGATGTGAGAATGCAAAATTAGGTCTTATTATATAAATACAGTCCAAGTTTACCCAGTGATACTTCATTAGGAGTGGATAAAAAAGCTGTGGTATATTTACACTGTGGAATACTATGCAGCTGTAATAAAGAAGGATCTCGTACCCTTTGGGACAGTATTCATGGAGATGGAGAAGATTATGCTAAGTGAAATAAGCCAGTCAGAGAAAGACAAGTACCACATGATCTTACTTATATATGGAATCTAATGAACAAAATAATCCAATGAACAAAATAGATACAGGGATATAGAAGCATGGAGCAGTTGGACAGATTTCAGAAAGAAGGTGGGGGTAGGGATTGATGGGGAGAGATTAATCAAAGAACTTAGATGCATATATACATGACCTATGGACACAAACAATAGTGTGGAGAAGACCTGCGGGGGTGGGGGGCGGGGCGGATACCTGCTGGAGGGGTTCCATGTGGGGAAAAAACAGGGACATCTGTAACACTTTCAACAATAAAACAAATGGAAGAAAAAATAAATTAAAATGGCCCTCAAGATTTTATTAGTATTAATGGATTAAAAAAGACTACCACAGATGAAAATTTAGGAGACATAATTGATTTACTTGTTCAGAATATGAAAGAAAGAAGCATTCAGATGTGCTATAAACGTCTTCATGGACTGTCCACATTTTCTCTCCCAGCTCATGGGCTCCTCTCCCTTTCCCTCCTCAAAGCACACACCCCAGTCAGCCTTCTCTCCCTTCACTCCAAGGAAACTTCTCTCACGGAATTGCTAATTTCCATGGGATATGTCAGCCTCTAACTTACTCCACTTCGTTACAGCATTTTTCAGCGTTCCCATCTTTCCTGTTACACACAAATGTGTTCTCCATGAATATGGAAAACTGCCTCCTAAGCTTCTCCCTTGGATGTCAATGGAAGTCATCTCCAACTAATATCCCCAAACCTCCTCCACTTACCACTTTTCCCAGGATTGCTTATCCTACTTGTCTGTGCTACTCAGTTCTGTGGATGACCTAGCCCTGTGCCCCCAGTTGCTCAGTCCATACCCATACAGGTCTCTATCTCTTATATTTTTCCACTTACTTTATTGATTTGAGAGAGAGAGAGAGAGAGAGATCCATCAGTTGCCTCCCGTATGCGCCCTGACCAGCATTTGAATCAGCAACCTAGGTATGTGCTCTAATGGGGAATCAAACCTGCAACCAACTGAGCCACAGGGCGGGTTCCTCACTTATTCTTGCTCAACCAGCTTCTACCCATCCCACCTTCT